AATGCAGAGACAAGTGCTGCTACAGTTACGTAGAAATGCAAATTTTTGTTGAAAAACTGAAACAGGCACCTGCTACAGAAGTGACAATTTCAGTGAAAATCTACCACACACAACACTACTCCTCACTGTAAACAAGTGCACCAACCAAACAGCTTCAACAGGCAAAACGGTGTTTGCAGAGCTTCATCTTGGCCCCCACTTGATGTCTTTTACACCATGAAACTGCCTTTTCAAAGCCTGGCTGTCTGCCCACTCAGCATTTAGAAATGAGTCGTCATCATCCTCTTCCAGTTTCTGTAAGCAGAGCAGACAGGTTAAGGCAGCAGTGACAAGAGCAACACACGGTTAGTGTCTACAACAGCAAAGCTCACATACAGTAAAAAAGACACTGTTACCTTAAGTTCCTCCTGCTTTCTGTGGTAATACAGCATCATCTGTTTTTGCTCTTCATGACTAATCAGAGGTTCACGCCCTGGGGCTCCTTGTCCTTTCTGAACAGGAAAGAATAAATTTTATTTATGATGGCACTTGCGATATGAAAGAGAAGCTGCTATGCAAAGATAGCAAAGTCTTTCTTCAGACAACAGGATTTTTCAAATGTAATAAGGTCCCTCAGAACAGGAAAATAAATGCTGAGAAACTTTTGCTGCCTTCAAGGAAGAATTACCTTTTCATCTCAGTATCTGAATCATGCTGTCATTTTTATGGACATCAGTGGAAGCTACGAACAGGATTGAGTCTATTTTACTTAAACTTCTGCTCTAAAAAACATAATAAATCTCTCTGTTTTAGATGTCTCAGATGGACCCATCCATCTTTAGTCTCCCTGCTAATACAGACTTACTTGGCATATGACTGAGTAAAGCAGGGGAAAAAGGCAGTTAGGAAACACTACAAATAAAAGAAATTTTATTTGATACTACAAATAAAAGAAATTTATTTTTCCAGGCAACTGTCGTCATGGAAGAGATGATTCGCACAGCAGAAAACAGCTGATGACAGCTATAGTCAACAACAGCAAACAGAACAGTTTGAATGGGGATGGTGAACCCTCTCTGGAACAAAAAGGGTCTGAGGTGGTTTCATTCAGCTTTGCAACCCAAAAATGCAGGTATCCTTTGTCAGATAGAAAACAAACATGCTACTTTGCTTTCTGTGAGGAAGTGCATCAACTAATTAAACAGGAAGACCTTCCTGGGAGCCTGCACTTCGATAGCTGTTGAGTTGTCACACAACTTTTCAGTCGTCCTGATAGGAAAGACAAAGCTATTCTAGTCTTCTACACAACAAACACATAGATCGTTTGCCTTACCTTTGAGTAATTCTATTACAGACACCTGCAGATAATAAGATCTGCCATTACCATTAATGCTTTGTGTGGTAGAGAAGCTCTCACTGACATGGAAGTGAAATGCAGCTCCAGGATAATTCTTAGCTACAGGTAGAATACTCTGAGGCATCTCACATTCAAAAAAAGCACCCCTTGAATGTGATCTTATATACAGAGAGAGAGATAGACACACACACAACCAGGGCAAGCACCTTCTGACAAAGCCCTGAAAATAAACACCCTTGAGTATGGCATTCTCACTAGAGATGAGCACAACTGTGCAGCTAGTACAAAATAATTTAATCAAAAAACTAATGAACAGTCCTAGTAGTTCAGTGCTCATTCTGGTATTGCAAAAACATGATCATTGTGTCAGACATTTAATGACTAGCTTTTGCTGAAGCATCAGGTCTCTAAACTGAGGAGCAGCAGGAGATCTTTGCCTCATTTTAGCTCATCACTCCAGATGATGACTCAGACCTGTGTTCACAATTAAGACAGAAGGCCTCATCTCCTTCACATCTGATGACTGGAAAGTCTCATTTCCTTAAAAAAAGTTCAGCTGGGAACCTGCAGCTGACAGCACAACTGGGTGGGGTACAGGTCTGGCAGCTTGTTTTCCCTTCTAGCACTCAGAGACTTCTCACTGAACACTTTGAGAAAGCATAAGTTCAGGGTCTTCTACTACCTGTATCCTCTCAAAAAGGAGGCATGTTCACATTTCTAAGGCAACTGAGACAGTCTGAGGACCCACCAGCAAGAAACCAGGGACATTACAGGGTGGAAACTATCAAGTTACAGACAATGTCTTTAGACATAGAAGAGACTGAAATGGGGGTCAGAGGTATCCACACCACATAGGCACAGAAATAATCCACAAGTGCAATCAGAAAAAGTGGGTGGACTGAAAGACAGGGTCTGTTTAGTGCTCTGCACTGAGATGGAACCGAGAGCCAGCTGAGGTTTTATAAACTTTTCAGTTTATATTTCATCTATTTTTAAATACCTCTTTGCTGTACTTTAGAAAAGTGCAATGGAGCAAGTACTAGCAACTACACCACTTAACTGTCAGGCAAAAGAATTATGAAAGAAAAACTCAGAATATATTAAATGAAAACCTTAAAATAGATGTACAGTTTTAAGACTCTCAAGCCAGAATCCTCAAGCCATTAGTAACTTGTAAAGAAATACAGCAATACTTACTTACTCCCAGCAACACTTACTTTCTGTATCTTGACAATGATGGTTGTTTTCTCATTTTTGCCTACGTAGTCAGAGAGCAACTTTGTTTCTTTCAACTCCTTTCCTGCCCACCATAATTGTGCTTCTGATTCTTTTATAACTTCAAGTCCAGCCTGTGACAAATAACAAACAAGGCGAAGTGTTGGGAGGTGTTGTTTTTGCTTTTTTTCCAACACCAGAAAAATTCCCTGGGGAAATCTATCTGGAATTCTTACCAGAAAGATCAATGTAATTCACCTGATTTTACACTACTGCCGCATTTTTTCTCCTCATATTAATCTATAGCATTTTAATACATGTTACATTCAATCTTGATTCAACATAAACAGACTTTGGGCAACAAATTATCAATACTGGCATTAGAAAGAAATATCAAACAATTTAAAACGGGTCCAAGACTTAACCTAAACTCACCTTTGCATGTAATATTTGAAATAAACTTAATTCATCTTATTTCTAGTTAAAGTGTTGGTGTGCTTTTGGATTGGATAAACTATCCAATTGGATAAACTATCAGATAAAAATATTAAACTAAATTTGTCATGCAAATGAAAACAGCCTTTATTGATAAAATAGAGAACAACATAGCACATGTTTAACCCAGGCACTACATATCAACCAAACACCTTACTGCATACATGAGTTCCAGACAAGTCTTCTTTATCTTCAAACTCCATCCTAACTGGATCGTGTGGAGGCAATCCCATTGGATACACAACCATCACAGCCCCTCGGAGCTGATCCAATGCATCTTTCACCATCTCCATATTAACACACACATTGGCCTGAACTTGTTTCTGAAACACAGGCAGGGATCATTGGTAATTTAAAAAAAGATACGCAGAAAGACTTAGCTTTGTAGTCAGTTCATAGGTTCAACAGCAAGATTTTTGAACAAAGCTAACTGGCTGCACAGAGATATTAGGAATGCAGAGTTTCTCAGCTGAATATTGATTTTTGAATACATGACTACACTTTTTCCCCCCTCCATCTCTCTTGCTTACACTGGGGAGGGAAGTGGGGGGGAAGAGAGATCTTAACTAAATCGCACAGGACGCATTTAGTAACAAGTGTCTGTGGCATATAGGCATTCAAACAAGCACACATCTGCCCACAGAAACAGGATGGGGAGTCTTTTGTTCCAAGTACTTGTGCTTCATGAACGAGATTCAAAACAGTAGAATTCAAGTGAGAGCTAGAGAAGGGGACTAAAAGTTGATGAGAAAAGCAGAGTGTGTTTGAGCAGAAGAGTAAAGCTTGGCATATTGCACAGCATATGCAGAGACCTGTGAGATCAAATACTTGAGATCATTCCAAACCCTACTGCAACAGACAGAGGAAAAACAAGGCACATCTGGAAGAGAAGAAAAAGGTTTTGCTTATGGATTTAACTGTTCCAATATTTTAAACAAGGTTTATAAGAGAGTAAGAGAACGTCGCCTCCTTGTGGGCATTCTAATAGTAGTTAACCGGCAAGTAAACTGGTTTCTCAACCTCAGATGATCAAGCTTTTCATTTTTCAAAAAAACGTACATGTGCATATTTATTCATTTTCATCATTATAAAGTGATGAACCTAAGAAAACTCTTCACAAATTATCCTTAACTTCATTCACCAGCAAATGGCAGTGATTTCTGGAGTGAGTCAGCATGAACTGCAGCAATTTTGCAAGTTTTAATTGTAAATTACAACATGGAATTTGGTTGGAAGTTTCACCCAAGAAGACCAGCAAAGTGGAGACCATTTCTGCATATATTTTCGACCACAGGGATAAAACTACATATTATTAATTTGCTCCCTGTTTAAAAAGAGTTGTTGAGATGCAGAAACGGAAGGGAAAAAAAAACAAGCCCATCTGGAAAAAATAGTTATAGGCCAGAAGCTTTAATCTGAAACATCTCACAGTCTGTGTAGATTTTGTTATGACTCAGAACAGTTTGGCTGAAATCCTGCCTCAATCCAGGAAAGGTTTGCTGCAACTTGGTGCACTGGAAGCACTGCCAGGCAACAGGGCAGCTCCTCTGCTTGCCTCTATGAGGCCTTTGGAAACACTGAGCTGCTCATCTAAATCACTGATACATGACACTGTTATCAGCAGCAAAACAGTCAAGAAGGCCAACTTAAGTGCACAGGCAACACTAAAAATTCAGTAACTTTATCTATTTGCTTAACCGGTTTAAAGCTGTTGTAAAGTTCCACACATACCAGTTCCCAGAATTGTAGGAGTGGGGAGATGAAAATTACTTGCAGATGTTTACAAAAAAAAAAAAGCAATCTGATAATAACTACTACTTAATTTGTGTTTCAAAGTCATATGAAAGCTGAGACACAACACAGAGCATCTAGAGATTTGGTAAAGTGAAGCTGAACAGTTCAGACCACAGTCCCATGAGTGCATATTCTTGTGCTTATCTTTAAACACACCAACTCATCAGGACTGAGCATGAGTCCAGATGCTTGTAAAACGCATCTACCGAGATTAGACCACATTTTTCAATTAATTATACATAAAACTCAAAATACTGTATTAAGGAGGAAAAGGTATTTTATTCCAGGAACTTCACAGAATGCAGTTAATTTTTCACCAGAAAACATGACAAGCATTTGCCTAAGGAATGCATCAACAGCAAATTAAGAGCGTGTGGATAAAATTAAGTGCTATGTAATCATTCAGTGTAGTCCTGGTTGCCAGCATTCACTTGGAGTTTAATATCTCATTCCTTAACTTCTTGAACCAGCTTGCCAAAAGCCATTAAGAAAATCATTAACAGAAATGTCAGTTTTTATTAGACTATTCACATCATTTCAGGATATTACTCAAAAATTGTTAGCCCTTGCAATGAAAAAGAGCCTATTTTTTCCAAAGCTGCCCAATTACACAGCACCTACTAGGAAAGTCCCACATTCCACTTCAGGAAACTTACCCTAGAGATTAATGCCTTGGCTTCCTCTATTGTCTTCTTTATAACTTGCTGCATTTTTTCATTTGGAGCTAAAAATAAGAGACAGATATTTAATAGTCTACACTTACTACAAAGACACCAAGCAAATGACCTGCCCGAGTTATTCTCTACTGTAAGCAAATTAAACATTGTTAAATCACAAAGAGAGACACTACTAAGTTGCAGCTTATTTACCATTTTGATAGTTCATTGCCATATTTCTTACTAACTTAAGAAACAAAACAGGACTTCTCCTGGGAGAGCCAAACTTACTTTCCTTTCCACAGCATTTGACCAGTATTTGGAACTTCATCTGGGACAAAACTACTGAGTAGAAAGCAACAGCCATAATTTCATAATCACCACAACCAAAACCAAGACCCTTTCCCATGCCATACTTAGGACTACTGTGGGCTGTGCTGGCAGATGTGCATAAAAGGGGACAAGATCTTGTTTTTCCAATTAAAATTTCAGACTAACAGCAAATGCAGTTTTGCAAATACAACATATATTTCATATTATAGCTACCCATTTTAATTATTATAAAAAGCCTCCCCCCAAAAACAAAAATCCAGTTAAATCACACTCACTCACAGCTGAACATTTAAATGCATCATTTGATGGCACTTAGTTTGGCACACATTTGCATGTCACTCAATAGTACAACTTTGTTAATACTACAAAGCTATTCTCCCACTAACAAATAAATGTGAGACTACCACTACAAGTGGTACTGTCCTTACAGTAAAGTTGCTTGCAAATTTTTACTGCAAGGCCTGAGACTGCTTGTAACCACAGCAAACAAGACAGGCTTTGTCCATATGCCTATGTACAAGACACTCAGCTAGTTCTGCAAACACAGTTAGGAGGGAAAACATTTAGCTGTAACATAAGCTCTTAATCAAGTTCAGCAAGGGCTTAAATTTGATTGGGCAACGTGTTGTGTTAGAATTACTGTCTCCAAAATAAAACATGGTGTAAGCAAGCTGTTTGTGTATGACAAGACTAACTTATTCAAAGATTCCTCCTTAACTGAGCTGCCTTGCAACCAACATCTAAAGGGCTGCTGATCTGACAGACAAGGGCTGTCCTGGTGTCAGGACTACAGGGACAGACAGCAAGATGGTAATTATGGTCTCATCTGTGCCATCAGTTCTCCTGCTATTGTAACGTGGAGCTCAATACACATAGCAAAGTGCAAAGGCAAAACAACTTGGCAGGAGTTGCAGAAAGAAAAAGTGATGGGAATTAGTTCAGTAAGTCTGAGTCACAGTGAATGAGGAAAATGGAGACATTTTAGAAAAACAACCTGTGAATGTATCTTGGAGCCTCTGGAGAAAAATAATACACAAGTATACATTTTCTTAGAAGGAGAATAAATTAAAGTGAAACAGTCAAGCCTGCTTCTGATAATTGTTTACGTATCTTTGGAGTTTACTTCCAAGTACCACAGCTGCAAAGTCAAATAGCATATGCGCTGAATGGATATACTACTATTCAGGCTTTTAAATCACCATTACAACAGGTTCTAATTCAAGACAGAGGACTTCTGTATATAAGTGATAGTTCAGCTGATTTATTGTGAAAAAAGGTTCTTGAAATAGCTACTACTTAAAAAACTACGACTGCTGTTAATATAATTTATTTACAGAACTATTTTTATAATTATTAAATAAACATGAGCCAGCTAACATGCTGGCCTGAAAGAGGCATACTAAGTATCTAGTTCTTGGGTTTTTTTCTTCTTCCAGGACAAAGAGGTGAAAGTGAAAGGTCCAGAATGATGGCCTCCATGTTCCTCATTATATTACAGATTAACTAGGCCTGCAGGGAAAGAAACAAACATTTACGCTTGATTTACCATGTCCATTTCTTCGCCCCATTACATCCTTCTTGAAGACACTTCCACCACTTGGTACACACTTTTCTGCCCACTCATCCTTTAACTTCAGCTCTTCAATCTGCTCATCTGTCAGTCCTTGCATATTGTAAGGCAAGAAAGTGCCATGCTCTGCGAGCTCCTCCATCTCTTCAAAGTGTTTAGAAAATGAAAAAAGTCTGTGTTACTGACAAGATCCCATTTACAAAAGCCTTTCACATTATACACATGCAGGCAAATCTTACTCCTGCCTTCAGTTTTTAAAGACCTAAGTATATGGAATAAATAATAAGGTATGCATACACATACCAATATATAGATATATATACTGTAATTACTTTACAATTAATAAATTTCACACATATATGAAACAATGTAACAAATGTCACAGGCATGCAAACCCAGATGATGTTTGATGGTTTATTTTTGTTATTTCCTTAGTCAGCTTTAGCTGACTGCAGTCCTTTCTTCTAAGTGCCTTTGGAAAAGCAACTTTTTTTCCAAATGGAAAAACATTTTGCAATTAATTTATTTGCAGTTGAGAAAATATGTAACAGGACTACCTATAGCTTTGTCCACACTACATCCAACCTGAAGGGTCAGATTCACAGCTACTATGAAACAAGTCTCTCTAGTAATTTATGTCTAACCAAGAAGTTATGGTCCAGGATAATTCTAGCTGAGACAACAGAGAGGTTTAAGTACTGGTTACCAATGCACAGTCTCCTACAGTGAGAACAGGCAGTATGTGGATGCAGTTTCCTAACCCTATTATATAGCTGACAGTATCTGATCCACAGCCTGCAAACGATACTGCTTTCCCCCAGAACAACTCACCCAGCCATCAGCCACCCTACTTCATAACAACCCACCCTTGAAGGCCCTCCAGCATCTTTAGCATCACCATATTAATTAAAGCATATCCACCTCACAACAGATGCAGTACCCAAGTCCCAGGGAACAGCAATTCTGTTCCCACAACTGGGAATACAGGCACACACATAAAAACATGAAGGCTAAGACTAAATTAGCAAGTACTGTGAAATAACAGCAGTAGATCCGTTGAAGGAGTGTGTGCTGAAAATATGGTAACCACAGGGTCTGGGGCTTTGGAATTGTTTAATTTCAGATTAGCCTCAGTGTGGCTGCACACACTACATATATTTGAGCCTGAGCACATCAGGTAGAGGTGAGCTGCACCGTCCAGGTGAGTCGCATCTGAAGACACTCTGGGTTCACAGACTCCCCAGCCCATCCACAAGGCAAAACCAAAGTGTGGTCAGCAGGGACAAACAGTAAGTCTGTTTCAAAGGCCGACTCCCGGACTGAGCTAAACCACTCATTTAGACACACCCAGTGTCTCTTCATCACACGGCAAGTGCCTGACACCACACAGGCACGAGGCAATGTGAGAAATCCATCCACGTGCAGAGTACACGGCTGGTCACAAAGAATTTCTGCAGCCACTATGGGACGGGACATGCTGCAGCTCAATCACGCAACAGGTGAATTTTCAGCCACGTGGTTTGGCAACTTTGGGGATGGGGGTTCCTTGAAATTTAGAGGAGGATGGCTCGTCTGCTGCTAAGCCAGGATTGGGCTATTGGGTATTCCTTAACCTCTGCCAGCGCAGAACCCCTGCAGGGCCGCAGGCAAGGTCACAGGATCACAGAATCCTAGGGGTTGGGAGGGACCTCGAAAGATCATCCAGTCCAACCCCCCTGCCAGGCAGGGTCACCCAGAGCACATCACACAGGAACGTGTCCAGGTGGGTTTGAACGTCCGCAGTGAAGGAGAATCCACAGCCTCTCTGGGCAGCCTGTTCCTAGGGCCTC